AAAATAAATAAACATTGAAAAAAATTTTTTAAAAAAAATATATAGGTATTTACAACAAAAGTATTCCTTCTAAGCACTGCTTTAATGGCATCCCATAAATTTTGGTATGTTGTATCTTCATTTTCATTCATCTCGAAGTATTTTCTGATTTTGTTATTTTTTCTTTGACCTATTGGCTGTTTTGGAGCGTGTTCTTTAATTTCCATAAATATGTGAATTTTCTCAACTTTTTTCAATTTATTCATTTCTAATTTCATTCCATTGCACTTAGAGGACATACTTGGTGTCATTTTTATCCTTTTAAAATTATTGAGGTTTGTTGTATGGCCTAGCATATGGTCTATCCTGGAGAGTGTCCCAATGGCACTTGAAATGAACCTTGTTCTGTTGTTGTTGGGCACTGTGTTCTACGTTTATTGTTAGGTATAGTTGATGCAGAGTATTGTTCAAGTCTTCTACTTCCTTGTTGAAATTCTGCTTAGTTGCTCAATCCACTACTGAAAGTGTAATGCTGAAATCTCCACTTACTCTTTTTGAATTATTTATTTCTCCTTTCATGTGTTTGTTTTCTAGTATATATTTCAGTGCATATGTGTTTATCGTTGTTTTCTTACTGATCAATTTAACCTGTTAACCTTATAAAGCATCCCCCTTTGTCTCTAATAAACTTTAAAAAAAATTTTTTTAATGTTTATTTATCTTTGGAAGAGAGAGAGAGAGACAGAGTGCGAGCAGGAGAGGGGAAGAGAGAGAAGGAGACACAGAATCTGAAGCAGACGTCCAGGCTCTGAAATGTCAGCACAGAGCCCGACTTGGAGCTCGAACTCACAAACCGTGAGATCGTGACCTGAGCCGAAGTTGGACGCTTAACCGACTGAGCCACCCAGGTGCCCCTCTAATTACCTTTTTAAATTAAAGCCTACTTTTAATCTCTAAAATCTACTTTTATATTTAAAGATTAACGTATAGCCAGTCTATAGTTTTTCAGTGGTTGCTGCTTTCCCATTTTTTTATTTTCCACACTTCTTACTGAGTTTTCAAAGATGTTCCTGAATGTTTCTTCATTTGCTGTTTGCCCTTAGGACCATTTCCATTGGTTTTAAATCCTTCTATTTAATATTCTCACATGTGTCATTTAGAAGTGGGTCAGTGGACCTCCTCATATTGTCATGCCAAAAGTCAATTGCCCACCACTATATTTTTAAATTTCATGATCTTATTTTTCACCCAAAAGGAGAATCTCTTGAAAGAGGGTCACTCTCTTTACAGATGCAATATCCACCTGCAATTGGTACCATGAATTCGTTTTTTTAACTTTTCTTAATAAGTCTTTTGCATAAAAGGATTATTCACCTGAGTACTTGGAATGACACAAAGCACTATTTTAATCTGTCTATTCATTTTCAAAGAGGCAGGTTGGGGTTTGGTACAGGTATTTTTAGAGTCGATGGAGTAGTGTCACCAAAATGAAATATTAATTTATGATTAATGCATAGTTATGAGTTCCAAGAAATGTCACAAAAAAAATAAGGAGAGCATTAAAGAAGATTCTCATAAAATGAAGGGAGACATAATTTTAAGATTGGAAAGGACATTCTAAGTCGGATAAATCAGTGAAGGAAAAACATCCCTCACATCTCAAATAATAAGAACATCAAAATGTGAACAGTTATCTATCTCCAAACAGTGGAATTCAGTGTAATTACTGAATAGAAGTTGGTAAATTTTAATTTTAAGATCAAAGAAAATCATGCAGGCAGCAATATAAAGTTTTTCAACAAGAAAAATATATAAGAAATGACAATGTTGACTTGGAGAAAGCCACCCATCAGGTTGTTGACAGACTAAAGATGAGGGAAACAAAAAAGCTGAAAATACCTTCACCAAAATGTTACAGTGGTTGCAAGGCAGAAGTGGGGATGATGCTTGCTTTCTTTCAATTTAAAATTTTCTGTATTGCTTGAATTACTAATACTGGAAACTTTGAAAAATAATCAATAGATTGTAACGTATTAAAAGCTATTTGGGGGAAATGAATTCCATGGGGTTTATTTAAAAATTTACATCTTAAGGGGGTGCCTGGTGGCTCAGCAGGTTAGGCATCCAACTCTTGATTTCGGCTCGGGTCATGATTCCATTGTTCATGAGTTTGAGCCCCACGTTGGGCTCTATGCTAACAGGGCAGAGCCTGCTTGTGATTCTCTCTCTCTCCATCTCTCTCTGCCCCTCTTCCACTCATGCTTGCTCTCTCTCTCTCAAATTAAATAAACTTTAAAAATAAAAAATTTAAAAAGTGAATGGCACGTAAAAAAAGAAACTGTAGATAAACTTCATTCATAACAATGACTATAAAAGCCTAAATAAAATAATTGCAAATCAATTTCAGTATTTTATACTGGGAATGCATATGTGGTTCAATATTAATAAAGCTACCAGTGTAATGGGCACTGAAAAGCATTTGATTAAAAATGAAAATCCATAGCTAATTATTAAAACACTGTTGGTAAAATACAAACAGAAGAGTTGCTAAATAAATATACCCTCTTCTGCTTAATTTTTTAAGGCTTTTTACTGTATTTAGAATAAAATTTTAAAACCTTAATAAGTCTAAGGGCACCTGGGTGGCTCAGTCAGTTAAGCGTCCAACTTCAGCTCGGCTCATGATCTCGCAATTTGTGAGTTCAAACTCACAAACTCAGAGCCCCCATCAGGCTCTGTGCTGACAGCTCAGAGTCTGGAGCCTACTTCGGAATCTGTGTCTCCCTCTCTCTCTGCCCCTTGCCCATTCACTCGCTCTCTCTCTCTCTCAAAAATAAACATTAAAAAAAAATTTTTTTAACCTTAACAAGTCTCTGCAGGACCTGACACCTGCTTGCCTGCATAATCCCACATCCTACTACTCTGATCTTCAGTTGGGCCATACTGACCCATGTTTAACTCCTTACATACAACAAAGGCCCCCTCAGGTGCTTTGCACATGCAGCTCCCTAGAGCGCTGTTTGATCCAGACTTCATAGCCTGGCCTTTTTCATCCTTCATATCTCAAATAATACAATCATTAAAATGTGCCCCATTGTTATTTATGTCTACACAGTGGAATTCAGTGTAACTTATTTATATGTCTTCCTTTTTATTCTTTTTTTTATTTTTAAGATGTTTATTCCTTATATTTTAGGTTTTCAAAAGGAAAAAAGACACATTAAGTTACTTTAATCTTTGGTGTGCTTGAAATGTGTTTGGTAAGAAAGAAAATATTGATCTCATATTGCCCCCAAAGTGATTAGTGGTCTCAATGCCTCTTACTGAATAAATACAAAAGTTTTTGCCCAATAAAAGTGCTACTGTAATTATCACCTAAATCCTACATGTTCTTTGGTCTGTACCTGAAGTTTCTCTCCATTTCCATTGATCTGTTCATTCCAGCACCAATACCACACAGTTTTATAGCCCTTTAAATATGGCAGCAAAACTGTCCCCTTGTTCTCTCTTTTTCAACGTTTCTCTAGCTGGCTTTCACAATTATTTTGAGGTTAAACATAGATGTTTTCTTTGAAACCCTGTTCAAAGTTTTACTTCGAATAGTTTAAATTTTGATTAATCCAGTAGAATTAGAATCTTGGTATGTTTTGCCATTTACTAAGTTTTCGCTGTATGCATCTGTGAAGAATTTAAATATCCTACCTGAATATTAACATTTTAATGCATAGATTTGTTTGTTGATAATGTGATTGGGTTGTTTCACATTATATATATATATATATATATATATATATATAATTTTATTTTTTTATTTGAGAGAGAGAGAGAGAGAGAGAGAGAGAGAGAGAATCTTAAGCAGGCTCCATGCTGAGCAGAGCCCAACACAGGGCCCAATCCCATGACCCTGGGATCATGACCTGAACTGAAATCCAGAGCCACTCAACCAACTGAGGCACCCAGGTACCCATTTTTTGTTTTTTGTTTTTTGGGTTTTTTTTTTTTTTAATTTAAGTAATCTATACACCCAACATGCAGCTCAAACTCACAACCCCAAGATCAAGAGTCACATGCTCAGGGCATCTGGGTGGCTCAGTCAATTAAGTGGCAATTCTTGATTTGGGCTCAGGTCATGATCTCGCAGTTCATGGGATCAAACCCCACATCAGTACAGAGCTTGCTTGAGATTCTCTCTTCCTCCCTCTCTCTGCCCCCTCCCTTCCCAAAGTAAATAAACTTAAAAAAAAAAAAAAAAGAGCTTCATGCTCTTCAATCTGAGCCAGCCAGGCAACCCTTTTACACCATATTTTAAACTTATTATTCCTGATTATTGCTTACCAATAACAATAATAATAATAATAATAATAAATATTTGTTGAGTGCTTACTGCAAGCCAGCTCTTTATTGCTTCATTTTCTTCTCACCCACTTTTCACATAAAGAAATGGAGACTTAAAAAGCTCAAGTAACTTGCTGGAAGTTTCACAGATAAAAGTGTTAGAGCTCAGATTTGAAGTGTTTTCAAATTCATTTTTATTTCTGAGGCATTTTAATACTTTAGTCAATTGTTTTAGGTTTCCCAAGTACATCATCCTATCAGCAAATAATGATAATTTTTCCATTTCCTTTCCAATATTTTTACTTTTTTCCCTAGTCCAATTGTATAACACCAATTTCTTCTACTGCATACATCTGTTTTAAATATCATGTAAGTCTATACAATATCATAATGTACCATACTAATCTTAAGCACTTCAAGAAAGTTGTAAGATGATATGATTTAAAATAAGACATGGACATTATTCCTACAGTATGGAGTATGCTAGATTAGAAGTTGCTGGAATGACTAAGTTGCGTGAAAATTTTCCATGTTATTAACAGCTTTCGTATGCCACTGCATTCTCTCTTAATCCAAAAAAAAAGTTATAAAATTTAACCTAAGGTATTTTTGATGCTAAGAAAACAGTTTATTTTGCTTATTTAAATGTCCTTATTCAACTGAGGACATTAAGTAAACATTTGTTGGTGCCTATGTTGCAAACAGTTGGGAAAATGCATGGAAGCAACCAGAGTGGAGTCTCCGAGTTCCTGCTCCTGGGGATCTCGGAGAGTCCTGAGCAGCAGCGGATCCTATTCTGGATGTTCCTGTCCATGTACCTGGTCACAGTGGTGGGAAATGTGCTCATCATCCTGGCCATCAGCTTTGATCCCCGCTTGCACACTCCCATGTACTTCTTCCTGGCCAACCTCTCCTTCACCGACCTCTTCTTCATCACCAACACAATCCCCAAGATGCTGGTGAGCCTTCAGTCTCAGAACAAAGCCATCTCCCATGCAGGGTGTCTGACGCAGCTCTACTTCCTCGTCTCCTTGGTGGCCCTGGACAACCTCATCCTGGCCACAATGGCATATGACCGCTATGTGGCCATCTGCCGCCCCCTCCATTACACCACGGCCATGAGCCCTGGACTCTGCATTTTGCTCCTCACCTTGTGTTGGGCACTTTCTGTCCTCTATGGCCTCACCCACACCCTCCTCATGACCAGGGTGACCTTCTGTGGTTCCCGGAAGATCCACTACATCTTCTGTGAGATGTATGTCCTGCTGAGGCTCGCGTGTTCTAACACCCAAGTCAATCACACGGTGCTGATTGCCACAGGATCCTTCATCTTCCTTGCCCCACTAGGATTCATGATCATGTCCTATGTCTGCATTGTCAGAGCCATCCTCCGAATACCCTCAGCCTCTAGTAAATACAAAGCCTTCTCCACCTGTGCTTCACATTTGGCTGTGGTCTCCCTCTTCTATGGGACACTTTGTATGGTATATCTGCAGCCTCTCCAATCCTACTCCATGAAGGACTCAGTAGCCACAGTGATGTATGCTGTGGTGACCCCCATGATGAACCCTTTCATCTACAGCCTGAGGAACAAGGACATGCATGGGGCTCTGGGAAGACTGCTCCTAGGGAAAGCCTTCCAGAGGTTGACATGAGGTAATTTTGGAAAGGGCATTAAAGTAGAAATTGGGAGGGGGGGGCCTGGGTGGCCCAGTCGATTAAGTGGCTGATCCTTGATTTCGACTCAGGTCATGATCTCATGGTTCATGAGATAGTGCCCCATGTTGGCTTTCGCGCTGACAGCATGGCACCTTCTTGGGATTCTCTCTCTCTCTTCCCCTCCCTAAATCTTACACACATGCACACAATGTGCACTCTCTCAGTCTCTCTCTCTCTCTGAATAAATAGATAAATAAACATTAAAAAAAATAGAAACTGGGACTTTCCTTCACCATGTGCAAGACATTATCCTATGGGGGATACAGGAGTGTTTAGTACATAGATCCAGCTCAGAATGAGCTCATGTATCTACGATGAAGAAAAGAATTGTATATGTAACCCAATGTTCACCAAACCACTGAAGCCTTGGCAACAAATAAGGTCAGTGATACTAATACTGGAAGTTTGCAAAATCAGATCCTTCAACTTGCCTGACACAGGACCACAGTCCCAGCCTTATCCACATATAGCCAGTTATGGCCCAGTGGAGACTCTTATGTTCTCTAGAAACACCCAGACATTGTCTCTGAACTCTGAACTTCTCTAAAGAGCCTGCTGCCTGCAAACCATTTACAGAAAACAACTGGCACCACTCCCGCTGCTGGTGTCCTGGCTGAGGCCACCCCATACCTGATGCTCTGCTGTGCACAGCTCCCACTACTTCAGTTCCGACTCACATTTCCTCTGGACATAACCACCGATGTGCACACAGAAATGACAAGAGATTCCTCTCTGCTGCTCTGGGGAGATTTTTGATTTTGGGGCATCAAACAAAACTACCTCTCTTGCCTTTTCCCTGCATTTCTTTTCTGTGCAAGAAGTCAGACTCTATCTTTGGAAAACTCCATCCTGTCCTTTGTCCCTGTGGTTCCTTACCTCTCATCTCTTCTTCATTCTCTCACAACAAAAGCCTCAAGCATATTAACACATGTTCATGAACAGGAGTGGTAGTGATGGCAGCAGAAGGGAGGAGGTAATTGTAAGACCTATGATTCTGACAGCAATTTTTTTTTCAACACCATCAAGCAATTCTTTGATACTAGCTGGATGGGTATCCTTTAATTCAACTCATTTTTGACACTATCTACATGGAGATAACCTCAAATCTCACAGGTTAAGGGCTCAGTCCTATAAGACTTCCTTCCCCCGACTTCAGACACCAATCACAAGTTTGCCACCCATGCTTCTGACAGACCAGCTTAAATCGGAGGTTCCAACAATCCCCTCCTTGGGATCCGTTAATTTCCTAAAGTATCTTTAACTCAGAGAAATATTTTACTGATTAGATTACTGGTTATTTATTCAGGAGCAATCAGATGAAACAGATGAATAGGACAAGATATGTGGGAAGGAACATGGAGCTTCTATGCCCTCACTGCATATCACACTCTCCCCAAACCTCCATGTGTCACCAACCCGGAAGTTCTTGAACTCCATCCTTTTGGGTTGTTATTGAAGCCTCATTACATAGGCATGGTTGATCAAATCATTGGTCACTGGTGATTCAATCTCCAGCCCACTGCCCCTCTCCAGAGGTAGGGCATGGGGAACAGCAGTGATGAGACTGAAAGTTTCAACACTCCAATCACACATGGCTGGTTCCCCTGGATATTTGCACTGCATTGTAGCAGGGAGAAGATCAACATTTCAATAAGTGGTACCAGACAAATTGGATATCCAATTGTATATCCAACTTTTGGAAGAAAACACATCTTGATCTCTCCCTCACCTGATATGAAAATCAAGTCCACATTGACAGCACATTTAAATGTGAAAGGTGAAAGCTGCCCCCCTTGAGAGGGGAGATCTGAGCCCCAGAGGGTGCCAGGCAACTGCCCACTGCTGAGGAAAATATAAGAGAATAGTGGCAAAGATCAGCAAAGATTCTTAAGTAAGATACAAACAACACTACCTATAATATAAAAATTGGTAGAGTATTTTAAAATTAAAATCTCCTATTTCTCAGTACCCACCATCATTTGAATGAAAGACAACCACAAAGTTAAAGATATTATTGCACACACCTGACAAAGGACTCCTAAACAGAATACATAACTCCTACAATCAACATAAAAGAGACAGGCAACCCAATAGAAAAATGGGCACAAGACTTGAACAGATAATCTACACAAGAGAATATACCTGTGGAGAATAACTACATGAAAAGGAGTCTAACCTCCTCAGTCAGCAGGAACATGCAAATTAAAACCACAATAAAATACCACCACACACCCACCCAAAACCTCCAATGAGAAGGATGGAAAACACCAAGTCAAGTTAAAAATGCAGAGCAGGGGGGCGCCTGGGTGGCTCAGTCGGTTAAGCATCCAACTTCAGCTCAGGTCACGATCTCGCGGTCCGTGAGTTCGAGCCCCGTGTCGGGCTCTGGGCTGATGGCTCAGAGCCTGGAGCCTGCTTCCGATTCTGTGTCTCCCTCTCTCTCTGCCCCTCCCCCGTTCATGCTCTGTCTCTCTCTGTCCCAAAAATAAATAAAATGTTAAAAAAATATATTTAAAAAAAAAAGAATGCAGAGCAGGGGTGCCTGCATGGTTCAGTTGGTTGAGATTCTGACTCTTGATTTGGGCTCAGATCATGATCTCATGATTCATGGGATCAAGCCCTGTATAGGGCTCTGTGCTGACAGTACGGAGCCTGCTTGGGATTCTCTCTCTCCTTCTCTCTCTGCAGGGGAGGCCATGCTTGCTTGAGCATGCATGAAAGAAAGAAAGAAAGAAAGAAAGAAAGAAAGAAAGAAAGAGAGAAAGGGAGGAAGAACGTGGAGCAGGGGCGTCTTAGTGGGTTATGCTCCAGACTCTTGATTCCAGCTCAGGTCATGATCTCACGGTTTGTGAATTCAAGCTCAAGTTGGGCTCTGCACTTGACAACACAGAGTCTGCTTGGGATTCTATCTCTCCCTCCCTCTCTCTCTCTCTCTCTATCTCTCTCTGCCCCTCCCCTGCTCACATGCCCTCTCTCTATCAAAATAAATAAATATTAGGAAAAAAAAAGAATGTGGAGCAACTGGAACTCACTGCTAGAGGGAACATAGAAACACTATGTTACAAACACCAGAGGAAGCTGTATAGCACGGTCTTCTAAACTTAATTAGCACCTGCCCTATCATCCAGAAATTGCCCTTACATAAATAAATGCCTAAAAGGAATGTGTAGCTGCACTATTCTTAACAGCCAAACACTGGAAACCACAAGTGCCCATCAATGGTGAAATGCATTTTAATGTCACAGTCACACAATAGAACTCTACACAGCAATGCAAATGAACAATCTACAACCATATACAACAATGTTGAGTGAAAGAAACAGACACAAAAGAGAGTGTAAAAGATGTACTTCCACTTCAGTAAAGTACAAAAATGGGTAAACTAATTCATGCTATTTGGAGTCAGGGTCTGTTGCCTGACTCACAGGAACTAGAAGAGTGACTAAAAGAAAACACAACAGGATTTCTGCAGGGCTAGTAAAGTGTTTTTTATCTGACTGCCAACATTTCACGATTGGTTCTATATCCCAAAACACCAGAAACATCTTTGTTTTTCTTTCTGTGTCCAATTGGTCTATTATCTGAAGTCCCTATATGCCTTTCAGCTGTTGGTTCTTGCTTTCAGTATCTTATTTCCTTGCGTGTCTGCTTATCCTTGGCTTTGTGCTCAAAATTGTACCTGAAAATGTGATTGACAAAAACAGTTGGAACTTTACTTGACGTTGTTTTCCTACAAATAAGACTTTTTAAAATTTTTTTGACTTAGTACTCAGAGTCGCTAGCAATCTGGGATCATCCAAGTTCAGTGCTCGAGATTTTCTGGAGCTCTGATGACTCAAAGCCAGGCTGTAGCATGTGTGTGTAGTTCTTTATTTCTGGATGAATCTAACTCCTAGGGCACCTTTTAGGATTGCTGCCTAAAGTGGAGTTGGTTTATTCCTTGTCAACAAGATTCATTTCCCAAGATCTTTGCATATAAACATTGGAGCAATTATCCAGGTTCGTCTCAACAAACTGTCTTGGGACCGCCTCCCCTGTGTCTTTCCAAAACTGATAAATAGCCCTGATGTGGTCCCAGTTCAGTCCCTCCTTATTTGATCTTAGGATCCAACCATCAGTTTTCAGATCCCCCATCCACATCACGGCATCCACAGCCTGCCATTCTGTCTCCTCTTTTGCATGGACTGCTTATCCAGAGGCCAATTCTTCTGCTTCCCACCTTTAGCCAAAAGGAGAAATCAAGTCCCATCCAGAATGTCTTAGGGTCCTTTATGCTCTGCTTGAATTTTCATCCTATGTGGGAAGAATCTGGAGACAGCAGAACCAGGCAACTCAGAGCAGCACAGAACAGCGGGTAAGGTCTACCCACCACAGGCTCACATTCTTTCTCCCTTTTCTCCTTTCTCATCTTTTCTCTACCTTTTATCTCACAAATATACCCACAACCTTTGACAGTCTTCATATAATCTAATCCTTTCATATTTGAAGGTAATTAGCAATCCCTCCAATCTTTTCAGTGCTCTACAAAGTGTTGTCACATGCTCTGTCGCACGTGGTTCCCAAGCCTGCAAGAAAGGCTTCACGGGTGGGACAGAGAGGCTCAGGGAGGTTGCATGCCCTCCTCAAGGTCCTGCAGCTGGGGAGCAACAGAGGGAAGTTTTCCAACATCAAGTTGGACTACTTTTCCATACCACGCCTACATTCCCCACCCCCCTCCCTGCAGAGCTACACTGCAGAGGGGTTTGTGTCTCTGAGGCCATCTGACCACACAAGTGTTCAGAACCCATTGAGTCTTACAGACTCAGAAAAGCATTTCTGTATAATCAGAATCACCAGGTGATTGCTAAAAAGGACTTGGTTCTCAAACCAGAACCATTCTTTCCAGGAAGGGGACCAAAAAAGCAGCTTTTTGTTTTAAAGTATCACAGGTGATTCT